GCATCTGGCCTTTGTGGCTCAGTGGTTGAGTGTTAATCCATGCACCAAGGGTTTGCCTTTCTCCCGGTCAGGACACATGCTCAGGTTGTGGGCCTGAACCCCAGTGGGGAGCATGCAGGAGGCAGCCAACTGATGTTCTCTCTCATCGATGTTTCTCTCTCTCCCTCTCACTTCCTCTCTCTCTAAAATTAATAAAGAAAAAAAAATTTAAAAAGAAAGGCTTGCTTCAGCATTAGCAAAGCATTGTGACAGCATAAAAATGGTGCCCACCAGGACCCGTATCGCTAAAAATATCCAACAGGTTTCTTCTGCTCCCACTGATAATTTAAGATTAGCAAAAGAATCTTTCACATGAAGTCTGGGCACTTTTCAAACACTAGCTTCTAGGCCAGGCCCTGGGCAGGTGAGTTGGAGCTCAAGTCCTTTAAGAGTCTTCTTCTATTCCTACAGCCCACAGGTCTCTTGGACATGAGCCCCGCTGCTTTCCAAAGCCAGATGTTTTTGGTTTCTCAAGTGTAAAACTTAAAAATTGGAGTGCATGATGTGGGTTACATACCCTCTACCCATCAGAGAAAAGCTCTGAGTTTTCAGTTTCCTCCATTTATGGGTCATTTGCACCAGGGGTGAGGTTTATAGAAAGTGTATTTCAGCCTCGCTTCCCTGACTCTATGTGCTTTACTTCCTCATGTGAAGAGTTGCTCAGCTACTTTTCAGATCTTTTCCAGAGGAAATTGCTCCATATGGAGAAATAGGTTTGGTGTGTCTGAGAAAGAAGGTGAGGTGAAGCTCTCCCTACCTTGCCATCTTGAACCGCCTCCCAGGTTTTACTTATAATTTCAGGTTTTACTTATAACTTGAAGATTGTATGTTGTGAAGACCTTCACCCATTTTGGCCATCACCCCTCCCCCGCCACACACACACACAAACCCCACTTGATCCTGGCAACCACCAATCTGTTCTCTGTGCCTATGAGATCACATGGTATTTGTCTTTCTCTTAATTCCTTCACATAATACCCTCCAAGTCCATCATGTTGTAACAAATGGCAAGATTTTCTTCTTTCTTATGGCTAATTAATATTCCATTGTATATATATACCACATGTTCTTTATCTATTCATCAATGGACCCTTAGGTTATTTTCATATCTTGGCTATTGTGAATAGTGCTGTAACAAACATGGAGGTGCAGACATCTTTTTGAGTTAGTGTTTTTGTTTCCTCCAGATAAATACCCAGAAATGGAATTGCTCCATTATGTGGTAGTTCAATTTTTAATTAAAAAAAATTTTTTATTGATTTTTAGGAAATAATTTACATAAATCCACTTGTAACCTGGGGTACCAATCTGCAAATCAATGGGACTGCATCCAGAGACCTGGAGCATTTGCTCTCTTGCAAAGCTCCCTCTCACTCCAACCAGCATGTGGTTGTAGGTTCATTGCGTTGCACTGATCCTGGCAGGCCAAGAGACAGCAGCCAGATGGGAGGGGATTTGGAAAGATGGGTGTAAAAAGGGACGAGATTAGGAGATACAACTTTCCAGTTATAAAAACAGTCACAGAGATGCATAGTACAGCATAGAGAATATGGTCAATAATATTGTATGGTGTCAGATGGGTACTAGATTTATTAGGGTGATCACTTTGTAAATTACATAAATGTCTAATCATAATGTACACCTGAGACTAATATAAAGGGTGGAGAAAAAGTAGGCTTACAGTTGCTTGTATGGAAAATCATACAATAATTAAGAAATAACAATACAAGAATAAAATGTTTCACATACAATTGTAAACCTACTTTTGCCCCGCCTGTATTGTATGTCAAATATAATGAAAAATTTTTTAAAGATAAAAAAAAAAAGTTTATTTCCTATCAGTTCTAAACAACATGCAAAATTGTTTTATTTGTGATATTGCAGAATGACTTTTCAAAATTCAGGTTTGTGTACCTGATGTGCTAGTAGCACAAAACATTGAGATACCAGTGCTTGGAGATACAGGAAGCTTTATTGGATTTGGCAGAGATGAGATAAGAGAGCAAGATCTTTCAAATCCATCTCTTTAATAAAACTAAAGGAAGTTTTTATGTGGCAATGTAGCAAGAGAGGGGAAGTTCCAGGGAACTGAGAGAGGTCTGAGTATCTGTATTTAGTCACAGATAACAATTTTTGGATAACTCCTTGTGGCTCTGGAGTTATCTTCTCCTGCTTCACAAATAAAAATAGTACATCAACAACACAAAATTATATTATGAGAACAAGGGTTGTTGGGTTGAAGAACCAAGGTTCTGCAAAATATTTCATAATTGTGTGTCAATGATGTCATCTTTGAAGCAAAAAGCAGAAACTAGACATCTTGTGACTATCTCTATTGTTTATCATTTTGTGCTTAACTGGCAATATTTTCCTATTATCTTAAACAGTGTACTTTTTTTTTTTATCCTCACCAGAGGTCATTTTTTGTTCAGATAGAAAGGGAGGGAGAGAGAGAGAGAGAGAAACATTGATGTGAAAGTGATGCATCGAGTGGTTGCCACTCGCACAACCCAACCAGGGCTGAGGACAAACTACAAACGAGGTACATACCCCTAGCAGGCCTCTCAGGACCGCAGGCCGACGCTCTAACCACTGAAGCCAAACCGGCCAGGGCTTAAGCAGTGTACTTTTAAACATTTCTTCTGGAACTTCATTTATAGGCAGTCCTTTAGAACATGACTAAAATGCTTTCTTAATCTTTGACCATAAACTACATGACAACCAAATCTATTGAAACATTTAGTTAAAGCCTATACGTATATTCTAATTAAGAATTAAAGGCCTAGGTTGGTTTGGCTCAGTGCTTAGAGCGTTGGCACAGACTGAAGTGTCACAGGTTCAATTTCACAGTCAAGGGCATGTACCTGGGTTACAGGTTCAATCTCCAGCCCTGTTTGAGAGATGTGTCTCTCTCACATCAAGGTTTCTTTCTCTCTCCCCCTCCCTTCCACACTATCTAAAAAAAATAAAAATAAAAAAATAAAAAATCAATGAAAAAATAAAAAAGAATGAAATTCCCTGGAAAGTGTGGCTCAGTTGGTTGAGCCTTGGCCTGTGCACCATAAAGGTTGCTGATTCAATTCCCATGCAGGGCACATATCCAGGTTTTGGGTTTGATCCCTAGTCAGGGTGCATATGGGAGGCAAACAATTGATGTTTCTCTCACACATTGATGTTTCTCCTCCCTCTCTTCCTCTCTCTCTAAAATCAATAAAAAATTTGAGGTTTTTTTTTTGTTTGTTTGTTTTTGTCCTCACTCGAGGACATTTTTCCATTTTTTGTTCAGGTAGAGTGGGAGGGAGAGAGAGGAACAGAGAGAGAGAGAGAAACATCGACGCGAAAGGAACACATCGAGTGGCCGCCACCCGCACAACCGACCAGGGCCGGGGACAAACTGCAGCCGAGGTACGCGCCCCTAGCGGGAACCGAACCCGGGTCTCTCAGGACCGCAGGCCGACGCTCCAACCGCTGAGCCAAACTGGCCAGGGCTTGAGTTTGTTTTAAAAACAATTAAATTATTTAATTCCAGCTGCCAAAAATACTAAGAACACTAAAATCATAAGTGGTTCAGTTACAGTGAAACTTTGTTTGAAGAAAATTTTTCTTTAGTGATTTGTATTTAATAATAGTAGAAAGAAAGACATGTTTTTCATTTCAATGCTTCCTCAGAATAAAAACTTTATTTTGAGTAGATATGTTACTGGAGAGCTGCCCAAGTCAAAGAGGGCTGGCTTTCCCCTCCTTGGCTTTGTCCACACTCGTGGGAAAGAATTCAGATAAGTGACAGAAAGTGGTGAAGCAAAGCAAGAAAAGTCATTAAGGAAGCAAAGCAAAATTTATTAAAGAAACAATGCATGCAAATTTATTAAGAATATACTTGGTATAAAGCACAAGCAGGCAACTCAGCTAGTCTGAATGCCCTACCTACTAGGCACACAAGTATTTTATACTTTCCCACCATATAGGTTTCAAGGTTCCCCTGCCCCACAGACTAGATTTCAAGGTCCCCCTTTTACATTGTCACAGATTTTCCCAGAATTTATGAGAATATCTAGCAATTTTAACTTGGCAAGTTCCAAGACTCCTAACTTCTTTGTTCAGTGGGTGAAATAAACTCCCCTTTTTCCCTCCTCCTGCCCTAATAGTTATCTATTCTGCCTAATATTCCTCCCTCCCCTAAAGTGATACCATCCAAATGCTTTGGGAGTTTTTGTTATTTGTCCCCCCAGACTTTAGCTGTCCTTGGCACAAATGTCATTAATTGGGTCTTTTAATTTTTCCCAGGCCAGGGTGATTTAAACTATGTATTCTCTGGTTAGGGAGAAGAGGTATAAACTACTTGCTCTCAAGTGTCTTTGGTTGGAGAAGATAAGAGGTTGTGATTTACAAGCTGGCTGCAAACTGCCCAAAATGTTTAGCCTTATTTAATTTTCTTGCCTTAGTTTCCCCATTGCACTTGCCCAGGAATTTTTCTAGTTTCTTACTATCCTGCCACAGACAAATAATATCTTCAGGCTGAGTCCCAGTTTATCCACAGGCCACAGGTTAATTAATTACAGCCAAATGTGCCTGGGCTGCAGGACTGAATCTGTCAGGTATCTTCTATGTAGTGTCCATGTTATTAACGTCAGTCCCCATAGAGGTCATTCAACTACCAGTTCTTTCAGCAGAATCAGTCCCATAATTTGCAGGGCCCAATGAAATGAAAATATAGGGCTTCTTGTTCAAAAACAATAAACAATGTGGCACAGGAAAAATTAAACCAATCAGAGAATTAAACCCAGTGTAGGAACCCTATTCTACTGCATAGATTGCATACCCATAAAACTAGCCCAGGGCTGCGAGGAGAGGGAGGGGCGGGGAGAGTGGGGGCGGAGCCCGGCGGGGCGTGGCTGCGGACGGGCGGGGCGGGGCTGCGGGCGGGCGGGCCGGGCCGGGGGTGGGCGGGTTCCCGAGGGGGCGGGACCCAGGCCGGGCACCAGCGGCCATGTTGAGGCACCGCCTTTCGGCTCCGGCTGCTCCTTCCGATTCCGCCGCTGGGCCGGCGCTGGAGGTAAGACTGGGTCGGTGCAGAGGCTGGCTGCCCTCGGCCAGCACGGCCACACGGCGGGGTCTGGTCGGGCGGGCGCTGAGGAGGCGGCAGGCCCCGCGGGCGCGAGCGCAGAGACTGCGGTCCGGCCCGGCTCGCACAGCAGGCGGGGGCGCGGGCCGGGGGCGCGGGCGGGGGCGCGGGCCGGGGGCGCGGGCGGGGGCGCGGGCCGGGGGCGCGGGCCGGGGGCGCGGGCGGGGGCGCGGGCCGGGGGCGCGGGCCGGGGGCGCGGGCCGGGGGCGCGGGCGTTGTCCCAGATTCCTGTGCGTTCGCTGGTTCCAGGAGTGTGTTCCCGGGCGCTCGCCATACCGTATCCGAGCAGCTGTGTCCCCTACATTTGCACACATTTTCCATGTGCATAGGTGTCCTGCGCTTCCACCCGACCTCCCCCGCGTGCAGTAAATGTGTACCCAGTTTATGGAGGAAACAAGCACAAAGCGTTAGTAGTCCCCACAGGTGCCTGGTTCAGGGCGCCGGGGTCGGCGGCCACCCCGGTCTGCGCCGCGCGGGGGACGAGCTCAGGGCAGGCCACCCGAGGGTGCGGGTCAGGAGCACGCGCCAGGGAGTACCGGGGCCCCCATCTCCTGACGCACTTGCGAATCGGTGGCTGTCTTGTTTTTGTTGTAAATGCTCCGTTAAAGCTCACTGGTGGCCTAGGGTACTTTGGACGCGTCATCAGGAGATGGCCCCAGAGCAGGCTCTCAGGAGGTTGTTGAGGAGAAGCGAATAATGGTAGCTAATGTCTGTGTGTGTGAGTGCCCGAGGCATACCAGGTTACGTAGCTTGCCCAAAACCATTAGTAGTATGTGGTGGAGCCAGAGTTTGAACCTGGAGGGTCTGGCCCAGAACCTGCCCTACAACCGTTGTCCCGTGGCATCGAGTAGACACCCGGTGGAAACAGCCAGTCTACTAGAATTATACTAGTGGAGAAAGTGAGGCCAGAAAAATAGTGTAGGACTAGTGAGAACCAACTTAAGGTGTTTTTCATGGATGCCGTATTTTCCCCCAAGATAAATTTAAAAAAATTTATATGTGGGCAAGCCAGGTGAATTTTTATGAAGCAGAAGAGAGTGCTTAGTACACAATTAAAATGTGCCAAAAGTGTGTATGGAGATGGTCAAGCATCTTTCATCTGATAGTTAATATGGGCAAGCTAACCATGTTTAAACTTGATAGAATATATTTAAATGGTTAAGACAGTGAGTTTTATGCTTTTTTAAAAAAATCACAACTTCAAAAAATAAGTGTCTAACAATTCCCTGTTGGCCATGTTATGCCTGAAGACATGATATGTTTGTATCCATTGAGCAGTAAATTAAATGGATTAAAGCCCCAGGTTTTCATGCAAAATAGGAGGCTACGTCTTAATTTATTGTGTATAATTAGGATGGGGGCAGTGGGAAGTCAAAGGGCAACTTGAAGACATTTTAAACATAGATTGAGCAGGATAGGCATGGATAAAAGAAAGGCAAAGAAAAGGAAAGAAAAAAATGGTTTGAAGATGGGAGATAAGAAGCTTAATTTTAAATGCGTTGAGTTTTACCAGCCAGTGGCATATCTTAGTAGAAGGGTCCAGCAAGAAATTTAAATACTGGCACAAATATTTGAGAACGATTGGATCTAGAGATGCAGATTATTTATTTATTTATTTATTTTTCCTTTATTGATTTTAGAGAGACAGGAAAGGAGGGAGAGAGAGAAACATCAATGAGAAAGAACATCGATTGGCCGCCTCCTGCATGCCCCCCACTGGGGATTTGGCCCACAACCTGGGCATGTGCCCTGACTCGGAATTGAACCCGCAACCTCTTGGTACATGGGTTGATGCTCAACCACTGAGCCACATTGGCCGGGCTAGAGATGCAGATTTAGATTCCAACACCCAGAAAGTGTAGGTGAAATGTACGGAATGGGAGTTAAAGTGTGTGCGTGAACAGGAAAGGGCCATGGGAGGAGAAAGAGTAGGAGTAGAAGAGAAAACCCAGATGCTGAGTTTTCACTAAGGAAAGGATTAGAACAAAGACTTGTCGCCCAGTAGTGCCATACTCCAGTGATGGGGAGAGCTGGGTAAGTTGTTACGAGCCAGTGCAGTGCAACACTGAAAATAAAGAAATGGATCAACATCAGGGAGTGTGAGACAGCAGGAGCAAAAGCACAAGTAGAGATATATGGAAAACTTTTGAGACTCGTGGGAAGAAGGAAAGAATGGGTAAAAATACAAAGAACACAGATTTCTGGAGGTGGATTACATTTAGCTTCAGTAGGAATTGACCTATAACTCTTGGCCAGATAGATCTAGGCTTTTTGTCTTTCTGTACTTTTTTAGTCCCCACTCCTGTTTTTTTCAGTCTCAGGGCTTGACTATATCTTATACTTCTAAATTTTATACTTTAAAACATTTTTTAAATATTTATTTAAAAGTAAAAAAGAAAAACTTTCTTTATAGGAATCTTATTCCAGCAAAAGTTTTCAATCAGACACCAGGTATTGTGGCAAAATAGGTATTGAGGTAGACTCATGGCCCAGGTGATGTGGTGGTGCTGTTCTATCAGCTACATTTTCTATGCTGCCATATCCAGGGTAGACAGTCTCTGTTGAGAATGATTAATCTACTCTACATGTCCATATAACCTTTGTTGTGAAAAGTATGTGCTGTTCATAAACCACTTGGTCATGTGTTTTGTTTTGTTTTTAATCCTCACTTGAGGACATTTTTTGATATTTTGTTCAGATAGAGTGGGTGGGAGAGACAGCGAAACCTCAACGTGAAAGGGACACATCGAGTGGTCGCCTCCCACAGGACCAGGGACAAACCACAACCGAGGTACGTGCCCTTTGCGGGAACCAAACCCAGGTCTCTCCAGACCGCAGGCCGCCGCTCTAACCGCTGAGCCAAACTGGCCAGGGCCTTGGTCATGGTTTTTTTTTTTTTTTTACAGGATCACCTACTCTTTGGTGCAGACAAAAGAGCAAGTAGCAATTGGACAGGTAATTTAAGTTTTACTTATTTATTTTTAACTATGTTTTTATTGATTTTTTGAGGGAGAGGAAGGGAGAGGGACAAAGATAGAAACATCAGTGAGGGAGAAACATCCATTGGTTGCCTCCTGCATGCCCCCTACTGGGGATTGGGCTGAAACTTGGGAATATGTCCTGACTGACCTGGAATGGAATCAGAGACCTCTTGGCAGTGGCCACACAGGCCAGAGAAGTAATTTAAGTTTTATATCTTGTGTGTTTCTTTAAAGTTGAATGAAAAATCTAATAAGTTGGTTTCAAACATTTCGCTCATAAAAAATTGTAATGAAAAATGTAAATCACCTAGTGTATCGTATCATAAATCACTATATCAGATCTAGTTATTAGCTTCTGTCATATTTCTTATTGAGCCTAACTTTTTTCTTGATGTGTAATTGGCAGTAGTGCCCTAAATGGGTGGTTAGAGAAAGAAGCAATTAAAGCTTTTATATTTTTAATTCATTTTACCGATTTAAAAAGCAGTATTTTAACTTTGTTTTCTCTGACCAAATGGAAAGAAAGTATCTGATTTTGAAGAGCACAGGAAATAGACTAGTTGTAGTTTACTAAAAGGAATAATAAAGTATAGAGTAATAGAGATAAAGGACAAGATGATTTTCAAAACTTTCATACAATAGGTAGTAAGAAGTTAAAAAATTAATTATTCAGCACTGGCCGTTTTGGCTTAGCGGTTAGAGCGTCGGCCTCCGGGTTCGATTCTGGCCAAGGGCACATACGTCAGTTGCGGTTTGTTCCTGGCCCCTGTTGGGGGTCATGCGGGTGGCAACCAATCGATGTGTCTCTCTCACATTGATGTTTCTCTCTCTTTCTTGCTTTCTCCCTACCACTCTGTCTGGCGAGGATTAAAAAACAAGATTAATTATTCATTAATTCAACAAGTAATTATTAGCTACCTCTTATGTACTAGACACATAGTGTGCCATGTTTTGGGAAAGCAGTAGACATAGTCCCTGCTAGGTTTAAGAACATAGGGTTTTCCTGTATACTAATTTAGCAAATCAGTTTTATTCCTTAGTCTTGTGTGCATATGTTAAAATTATGCATCTGTTAGTTCATTATTTAAGGTACAGTCATGAGCGAGAATAGCTGAAGTTAATATGCAATAATTAATAACATCCAGTGAGCAGTTTGTTGTTTAAGAATTTATCTGTTAGCCAAGACAGTGTGGCTCTGTGGTTGGGTGTCGACCCATGCACCAGGAAGTCACCGGTTTGATTCCTGGTCAGGACATGTGCCCAAGTTGTGGGCCTGATCCCCGGTTGGGGCATTGCAGGAGGCAGCCAATCGATGTGTCCCTTTCACGTTGATGTTTCTCTCTCTCTCTCTCCCACCCTATCTGAACAAAAAATGGAAAAATGTCCTCAGGTGAGGATAAAAAAATAAAATAAAAGCATAAACCTATGAATAGAAGGTGATTTCTCTGTAATTGTAGTACCTTAATCCTATAAAGTTAGTCTATCTTAGAGTGTCTAAAAAAAGAGAGTATTTATTAAACATCTTCTAGGGAGGCAAAGAATAGGGTCTCTGATGTCAGACTTTTCTGGTTCAAATACCAGCTTTCCAGTGCAAATCTAAGTTTTTGGATTTATTGAGTGAATTACTTAAAGGTAGGATTGAAACTAATCTTATTTTAGAAATTTGCAAAGATATTTCCAAAATTAACTTTGTAAGGTTGCTGTTACATATCTTTGAGGAATAACTCTAGTACCAAATCTGATCAAATAGAACATTTTACTGAAAAGACCACCAAAGTGCTAATACCTGTTATGGGGGGAAGGCAGTCCTTCCTTGAGAGGTACAAACCTGAGTCAGTCTGCTTCCTCTTTGCTCAATAAGCACTTATGATAAATATGGTTCTCCAGATTTTAAATTTATCATTAAAAATTATGTGGTATTTTAACATTTAAATTAAAAATTATTAATGAAAATTTGAAGGATTTGTTGGAGAGAAAAGAATTACCAAACTAAAATTTCCTGATGACAGGCTGTATTTTTAATTCACTTAGAACAGCCTTGTGTTTCACTTGTTGATTTGTTTTAAAGAGAAAAATTGTGATCTAAAAGTCGTGCTTCACTTTCTGAGAAAAACTCTCATCAGATAAGTAATTTGATCTGGTTTAACATATAGAAGAGTGCCTATCACACTATAAGTGTTCAATAAATGTTATCTGTTATTATCAAAATCATTATTGTTACATCATTTTCCTCCCATTTTATTTATTTTTATCCTCACCAAAGGATATTTTTCTATTTTTGTTCAGATAAAGTGGGAGTGAGGGAAAAAGGGAGGGAGGGAGAGAGAGGGAGAGACAGAGAGAGAGAGAGAGAGAAACATTGATATGAAAGGGATGCATCAAGTGGCTGCCTCCTGCATGACCCCAACCAGGGCCAGGGTTGAATCCCAACCAAGATCCGTGCCCTTGACCGAATGAACCCCGTGACTCACTGGTCCGCAGGTCGATGTTCTAACCCGCTGAGCCAAATTGGCCAGGGCCTTTCCTCCCAATTTAAAATCAACTATTAGTCATGCCGATTCCATGACTCCTTTGTTATACTTAATAGGTAAGCCATTAACAATTTTTTTTTTAATCCTCCCTGAGGACATTTTTTCATATTTTGTTAAGACAGAGTGGGAGGGAGAGAGAGAGAGAAACATTGACGTGAAAGGGACACATTGAGTGGTTGCCACCCACACAACCCAACCAGGGCCGGGGACAAACTGCAACCGTCGTATATGCCCTTAGCGGGAACCGAACCCAGGTCTCTCTGGACCGCAGACCAACGCTGTAACTGCTGAGTCAAACTGGCCAGGGCAGCATACTAACAATTTTTAATCTTCTAAGGTAAAATAGTTACTAATTTATTTATATTCTGCATCTTTCTGAAAAGAATTCGAGGCAGTCCACACACCAAAAAAGCTTGTTAATAAATTGATAATGACATACCAAAGTACTAACGTTTTTTTAAACATGGTAACAAGTAAAAATGTGTGTATGAAAGTTAGTTTCTTAATATTATTTGAGAAAATTAGCACGTGAAGAAAAGGTCCAGGTGAAAAACAGTTGTATGATTGAATAGTTTATCTGAAAACAGCTTTGTTTCAAATTTTTCAGGAACTGATTCTCTAGAAATTAATGCGATTAATCTTTACTAATAGGAAAAGAATGGCATTAAAACAGATTTCCAGCAACAAGTGCTTCGGGGGACTGCAGAAAGTGTTTGAACATGACAGGTAACTGCTAAGACATAACTTTAGATGTCTCATTCTGCTTCCATCTGTTTGATTTTTTTAAGTCCATGAAAGGTCATTGTTGCATGAACAACTGTTTACATGGGCAAATATTTGTTTTTCAAAGTCAAAATTATCTAGCCTTGATATTAATGATTTTAATAAAATATTAGTGATAAAGAGGAAATTAAGGATGTGGTACATTTCATTGCCCATGAGCAAATATGTAATTTAAGATCTTTAGAATAAATTTTTTATAAAATTGTATACATCTTTTTAGAAACAGACAGAGTTTTTCTCTTAATAATGTTAGTGCTACATTGAGGATATTACATTTATTTTTTTCAATTTATTCTGGCCAAAATGACTGTGTTTTATACACAGTGTATGCTCAGGTTGGTTAATAAATCACTAGGCCGAATTAGCCCCATTTTTTAAGGGCCAAAGTTTATTCCTTAAACGTGGGTAGAATCACTACTTTGGATATTAAGTCACTTATTTTCTGTTTCTGTCTTGGCTAATGAGAAACATTGATTTTGTGTGTATGTGTATGTGTGACTCTTAAAATTATAGTGTTGAACTGAACTGCAAAATGAAATTTGCTATCTACTTGCCACCAAAGGCAGAAACTGAAAAATGCCCTGCACTGTATTGGCTGTCTGGTAAGTGTTATGCATTTGAGTTTTACAAAGTAGTTTCCTTTTCTTTTCTTGGCTTATCTTACTTTTATCTTGCCTTACTACTAGTGTCCCTTCTGAGCCATTTATAAAAGGCATTAGGAGACTGTCATAGTCTACTCTTACTTTATCCTTAAAATAATTTCAGGCCTACTGAATTATATTTTTTCACTTCTTTTTTTGTTTTTGTTTTTTTTTTTTAAATCTTTATTGTTGGATGTAAAATGTATTACAGATGTTCCACATTTTTCCCCCATTGGCCCCCTCCTCCCCACTCCCACCGCCCTCCCACCTTTTCCCACACTATTGCCTGTGCCCATTGGTTATGCATATAAGTTCTTTGGTTTATTTCTTCCCACCCCCCAACCCCTTTCCCTTTGAGGTTTGTCAGTCTAGCAATGAATTTGTGCTTCTTAATCCCTTCACCTTTTTCACCCATTCCCCCAACCACCCTCCCAACTGGAAACCAACAAAATGTTCTCTGTATCTATGAGAATGTTTCTGTTCTACCTGTTCATTTTGTTTGTAGATTCCATTGTTAATAGATATGTATTCATTGCCATTTTGTTTGTTCATACATTTTATCTTTTTCTTCAAAAAGACCCTTCATCATTTCATATAATAACGGTTTGGTAGTGATGAACTCCTTTAACTTTTTCTTGTCTGGGAAAGTTTTTATATGTCCATCGATTCTAAATGACAGCTTTGCAGGATAGAGTAATTTTGGTTGTAGGTTCTTGGTTTTCATCACTCTGAATATTTCTTGCCACTCCCTTCTGGCCTGCAAAGTTGCTTTTGAGAAATCAGCTGACAACCTAATGGGAACTCCCTTGTAGGTAACTAGCTGCCTTTCTCTTGCTGCTTTTAAGATTCTCTCTTTGTCTTGAACCTTTTGCATTTTGATGATGATTTGTCTTGGTGTGGGCCTCTTGGGGTTCATCTTGTTTGGGACTCTCTGTGCTTCCTGGACTTGTATGTCTGTTTCCTTCACTAAGTTAGGAAAGTTTTCTGCCATTATTGTTTCAAACAGGTTTTCGATTTCTTGTTCTCTCTCTTCTCCTTCTGGCACCCCCAAGATGCGAATGTTGGCACGCTTGAAGTTGTCCCAGAGGCTCCTTACACTATCCTCATTTTTTTGGATTCTTTTTTCTTTTTGCTGTTCTGATTGGGCATTTTTTCTTCCTTATATTCCAAATCAATGGTTTGCTCCTTGGATTTACGTACTCTACTATTGAAGCTGTGTAAATTATTCTTTATTTCAGTTAATGCATCCTTAATTCTGACTGTGCATCCATCATTTCTGACTGGTCCTTTTTTATGCTCTTGAGGCCCTCACTAAGTTCACTGAGGTTCTCACTGAGTTCATTGAGCATCCTTATAAGCAGTATTTTGAACTCAGCATCTGTTAGGTTGCTTATCTCCATTTCACTTTGTTCTTTTCTTGGGGTTTTGTTCTGTTCTTTCTTTTGGGACCTGTTTCTTTGTCTCCTCATTTTGGCTGCCTCCCTGTGTTTGTTTCTGTGTATTACTTAATGAGAGGTATGGGGCTAGCTGCGACCAGATGCTGCTCGTTTGAAAGAATTTAAGAAAAACCTGAAGCAGGATCCAAGACAGGCCAATCCTATGGTTTAGCAAGTGGCAACAGCTTGGGTGGGCCTGAAAGTTGGGTGGGCCTGAAAGTTGGGTGGGGTGGGGCGGGGCCTCAGGGAGTCACCAGGGCGGGGCTACCAGTGTGAGCCAGGTTGCTGGAGTCCCAGATATGGCGACTGTCTTCCGCCCCCGGGAAGGGCTCACCAAAGGAACAAAGGCCTCTGACAGCACGTTTGTCCCAGAGGATGCCCCCTCTCCAGCCCTTGCTCCAGTGCCAAACAGCTCAGTTCTTCCCTGTGTGTCTCTGGCGCCCCTCGAGCTGCCTCCCCTCCGAGCTTAGAGGGAGAGAGTCCGATGAGTCCGTGCGCGGGCCCTTTAAGGAGCTGCCTGGGGCTCCAGCCGCCTCAGCCTCCCTGAGCCTCAGTTCCCGCTGGTTTTCCAGCCAGAAGTTATGGGGATTCTCTTCCTGGCACTGGAACCCTGAGCGGGGCACCTGGTGTGGGATGGGGACCCCTCAGTCCTCAGGAAGGACCTTCCCAGCCGAGGTATCCTCCTGATCTTTATCCGCCACACGTGGGTGTGGGACCAGCCCATCGTGGCGCAGCTGCACAGCCACCACCCCTCCTACCAGTCTGGATGTAGCTGCTGCTTTAATTCCGTAGTTGTAGGACTTCCATTCAGCTTGATTTCAGGTGGTTTTGAATGATGGTTGTTCTGTAGTTTAGTTGTTACTTTGATGTGGTTGTGGGAGGACGTGATATCGCATTTACCTACGCCACCATCTTGTTGAACAGGGTTTTTTTTGTTATGTTTTAATTCTACATGTTAAAGTTCTGGGGAGAAGAAGACTAGAAACACTAGGGCCATGGTTTTCCCCAGTCAACATCCCAGGGAAAACCTGAGGCCCACCCTTAGTCACCAATTCCATTACTACAAGGCTGATAGATTAAATTTCATATAATCATAAAACAGCATGACTGAAAACCATAAGTAGAAATCTGGGGATTTTATACAGTAATGCGTTATACACATTCACCACCCCCACAAAAATGTAAAGCTATTTTACTAAATACAACATCACATTTTCTTTTTTCAATTTATTACCATTTTTAATTTATTGGGGTGACATTGGTTAATAGAATTATATAGGCTTCAAGTGTACATCATCTGTATATTGCATTGTGTGCCCCAATGTATTTCACTTCTATTTCAGTTAAAACAAGTAATTTAGCAGAGAATGTAAAGTTCTGGACTCAATGGCAAGAGCTTAGAAAAGTTACTTACCTGGTCTGTACCTATCCATGCATTTCTTGTAGCGATTTTATCATTCAAATAGAACAGTATTAGGTAAAAGCGTTATACCAATGATACACTAATTTGAAACCACAGACAAGTAACTTCTTATTATGTTGTCTGGAATATGTTAATTGGACTCCATGGATCTTCTCTCGGAACAGTCTGGAAAAATCACAAACAATAATAATGCTTCTTAATCAGTGGTGAATATTAAAGACTAGAATGGATTTTGAGAGAGTAAGGTTTTGAATCTCTCTATGCTAACTTTTCTTTTACGAGTTGTTGACACTCTCTATGGAAGCACACATTACAAAAAGAAACTCAGAAACCAAATTAGGTCATACAGTACTATCTTTTTTCCTTAAAATTGCTTCCTATAACTTGATCTAATCCTCTGTTATGTATGATTTGATCGAGGATAAGCATTAAATGCCAGTCTTTAAAAATTAGAGTGGATATTTTAAATGGTAAAAGTTAGTGCCTCGTTGATTTTAACGCAACAACCCATTTCTGTGATTGAAAAAGAGGGAACCGGTTTGCCAGAAGAACACTGGGTATTGCCAAAGCATCAATAACAAATTATATGTTTAATTGCTTCATAAACATAGTATTGTGTAGCTAAAGATGATCTTAGGAATCATGTAAGCTATTTTATAGGCCCAGTGAAGTTATATATTACTCAAGATCTTATACAGAATAGGGTGAACAAGTTCTCTGATTCATGATCCAGAGCTGTATCTAGTCTGTTTTCCTGTTCTTTTTGCTTTTTGTTTTTGATGAGATCTACTAAAGTCGTATCTCTTGGTTAAAAGAGTAATAATCCAGGTCAGAAGTACCAGGGTGCTGTATAATAGGTACTATAACAACAAGACCCTAAATTCCTAACCAAAATTTAAATCCATTAAAACATATCATTGAACTTCATGAGTATGAAAAACAAAATATTTATTTATTTACATCAAATGATGGGATAGTTTCCTTAGTGAGATGCTGAAGAACAGATATACCTTGGAAATTAAGGCTTGATTTTTTGAAAAAAAGGTAAGATTAACCAGTACACTTGAGAAGTAATGACAAAAGAATTTTAGGTTTACTTTCCCGTAAGTTAAAGGAAAACAATGAAAGATTACATCATGTTATATTTCTAGAATTAAATCAAAATGTTCAAACTGAAACTCTAGAAGGTGGTTTGAATGCATTGTATCACATCTTTCCCAAGTCAGGGTGATCTCAAACCAGCCCCTTATGTATCCAAGATCATTGAAAACATATTTCCACACAAAAACTTACACACAGATGTTTATGTATTATACTATACATTACTTATAATAGCAAAATGGAAACAAACCAAAGGTTCATTAGTTGATGAAATGATAAATAAAATGTGGGCTGTCTATACATTATAATGGAATATTATTCTAAAACAAGAAATAATGAAGTCCTCATAGATGCTACATATAACATGGATGAACCATGAGAACTTCATACGAAGTGAAAAAGCCATTCACTGTTGAATTCCATTTATGTGAAATGCCCAGAATGGGCAAATCCGTAAAGACAGAAAGTAAGTTAGTGGTTGCCTGGGGCTAAGGTTGAGAGAAATTGGGAGTGACTACTTATGGGTATGGGTTTTCTTGTTAGGGTGATGAAAATGTCCTGAAATTAAATAGTGGTAATGGTTGCATAATTATAACTATACTAACAATCATTGAATTATATATACTTTGAATGGGTGAATTGTATGAATTATACCTCGATAAAGTTGTTTAAAAAAAAACCCAGCTCTTCATAAAATAAGTGCAGTTAAGTAGATAATAATTAGTAATCATCTCCATACTCTCAAGGATAATTCTACTATGAAGTATCTTCATTTCTGTGAGTCTACAATTCAATCCGTATTACCTTAATTGAGAAATATGTGTTCTAACTAGAAAAAATGTTTTTCCTTGTCTCTAAACAGATTTACATTTCCCAAGTGTGAGGTGCTTTGCTCTGTGTCCCACACACAATTCAAAGCTCTTCACATGTTATCACATTTAATACTCACACCACCTTATGAGGTAAAAATAAGGCAGTATGCCTATTTTTCAAATGAAAGAACTGAGGCCCAGAATATTTGAGTTACCTTCTTGATTTTGTTTAGCTAATATGTGGCTGAGTGACATGGGGAACTAGATCCTGTCTCAAATCCAAAGCCCATGCTTTCTACACTTTTATCCTTCTTCCTCTGAACACATTTATGTTAAGGTCAGCAAGACTGTTAACTGTGTATCCGTGTTTGGGGCAGTGCTCCACATGATGTGGCTTTCAGAGCTGGGGGAGCTGTGCTGGACCGGAACACAGGGGACAGAGGGCCTTGTACTCTTGCCACGGCTAGTGAAGTATGTGTGTCCTAACGGTTTATTTGACCATAAACTTTCATAACACTTTATCTAATGGTACTTGTAACTTTATATCATATAATTATTTATTAATTTAAATCTTTATTGGGCAATCATTCGGAAGTCTCTGTACTGGCTGTTAAGGGATAAATAGAAACTATAAAAGTATTCTATAGTTAATTTGTATCGCATTATGCATATCAGTAAGCTTTGACATTGCTAATTGTCAGGTGTAGTGGGATATTTATCACTGGCCACTGGAACAGGGCTATTGAGTTATGTGCTTTTGGGCTCAGGCATCTAGTACCAGTTCATTCTTGACCATTCTCACATCATTATACTGTTAGACTCCCCTAATGAGAGAAGTAAATCATCTCTTTTATCACATAACTGAAAGGCATAGAGGTAGGAAAAATGGCAGAAACAGTTGTAAAAATGGGCTAACACTCAGTTTTAGGAAGGTATATGGTGGCCATTACTCTCTTCTTACTACATTGAGGAATACAAAGATGATTAGGCTGAATTTTGTTACTGTGAACTACTTGTGTATAAAAATATTGTTAGATGTAGTATGATTACCATAGTATTTTCTCACTGTGAATATTTATGTTTTGATGCAGAAATAGTACTTGTTTAATTAGCATGTTTAATAACATTGCACTGCAGTTGTTATAACATTTGTTTTACGCACAATATTGCTATTCTATAGCTTGAAAAATTCTGAATGCACAAACACATCTGATCCTAAGGATTTTAGTAATTGAAACTTTAGCAAGTGACTTTCAAAGGGCAGCTGTGGGAGCATTTAACCTAAGACAGATTAATAGTGTTAGAAATTTTTTTTAAATATGTTTTCATTGATTTTTAGAGAGGAAGAGAGAGAGAAATAGAAACATCAATATGAGAGAAATATTGATCGACTGCCTCCTGCATGCCTTCCCACTCCCACCCCGGTGATCGAGCCCGCAACCTGGGCATGTGTCCTGGCCGGGAATGGAACCCGGACTTCTTAGTCCATGGGACATCGCATAGTCCACTGAGCCATACGGGCCGGGCAGTACTATCAGAAATTATGAGAAGGGGAACTTTAGCATCTTCTTCAGAATTCCTTCTAAAAAAAAAAAAAGGTTTTTGATAATACCAAGTGAGATTGTTTTACCTTATACAAAGATTAATCCATTTGCAGTATAGCATGAGATAATAATATTTTTGATCTTCAGGTTTGAGTTGCACAGAACAGAATTTTATAACAAAATCTGGTTATCATCAGGCTGCCTCAGAACATGGCCTTGTTGTCATTGCTGCAGACACCAGCCCCCGTAAGTGTTCTTGTTTCTTTGTCCTTTGTAAATAATACAAATCTTTAAAACTAAGTTATAAGTGGGATATTATATAGACTATAAATTAATTTCATATTATTACTATATCTCTATTAATCTTTAAGTGATACTATGACTCTAAAATGCCATACTGTATACATTTTCTGTTCTGTAGGTAAACTAACTTGTCATATGGTAATTATGTGTTTTCTCATCTCTGTTATCAAATAATTATACAGTTTAAAAAATATTAGTTTTAATATAAATGACTAGAATTTTTACATTAGAGAATATTAAACATTGGCCATATTACACGAAAGCAAGACATATCTCACTAGAAATGTAATTAAAATTTTAATTCAAAAAAGCATCCAAAATATAAAATGCCTAGGAATGAACTTTAAAAATATGAAGATTTATTTTAAAAATGAAAAAATTTGCTAAAGATCATAAATGAACACTTTAATAAATGTAAAAATGTCATGTTCCTGGATGGGTAGACTCGGTATTAAGAAGAGGTCATTTCCTTCTAATCACTCTACCTGTTACTCTCATTCTATTCAAAATTATAATGGTTGGCTTTTTTCACTACATGGAAGTCTGTAAAATAAAACCTAATAACTAAAAAGGAATACAAGAAAATCCCAATGAGGGATGGTTCAGTGGGGGAATCATGATGGAATGATTCCAAAGTCCAGGAGGAGACACTCTCAGTTCATGATGATAAATTGAGTACAAGCATTTGTCTCCTGTCACTCCTAAGGCCACAGTGATAAAGAGAATTATGGAAGTGTTGGTAATGAGAGAGAGTCATCAAGGAAGGAATCTCAGCACATTTCTGAAAGAAAAAGAGGATGTAAGCCCTTTGACAGGTAAAACAGAGTGAGGAAGTGTAGTTTCAGAATACACAGTAGGGAACTTCATCAACAAAGAAAGCAGCCAGGGTGCCTTACCTTGGTAGTGAATATGCCAGCCCAGAAGGGCATTCTCTTTCTCACTGCATTGGCTAGAACATGGCCCCACCCAAGAGGGCCATGAAGTATGTGCCCCAAAAGGCGAGGGTTCACAATATTTGGCTAATGGGTTTAATGCAAATGAACTTTCAGATTCTTTTAAAAGTGTGTAATTAAACATGGACCATTACTAAAGAGTAGATGAAACCACAAGATTCTTTCTTGATAGGTGGCTGCAATATTAAAGGGGAAGATGAGAACTGGGACTTTGGCACTGGTGCTGGGTTTTATGTGGATGCCACTGAAAATCCTTGGAGAACTAACTACAGAATGTACTCTTATGTAACAGAGGAGGTACTTTAATTTATATTGTAATTATTTATTGTTGACTGCCAAAAGCTTGATTTTGGACACACAGTCCTTCTAGTCCTGAGAATTTTAAACTAGAATATGGTATTGAATCTGCTTAATACAGATTTACTTATTGTCTTAGTGGAAGTTCCAGAGTTTACTAGTACTATCATTTTATTTACTGCCATTTAAAATAACACTAAATATAGTTTTAGGGAATTTAATAATTATATTGATACCTGTGTGCACAGCCCAGTTTACGCAAAGAAAAACAGTTCATGAAAAAAAAAAAACATTTTATTTCTCTGGCAGCTGGTTCATTCAGGCATTTTATAGTGATTAATCAAGGCTTAGTTAGAAAGGATGTGTGGTAAAGCATTACTTTTATTAATATTTATGTGCAGATTATGCATTCTAAATTTTATATGATTTTAATTGTTAATATGTGCTATATCATGAGAACTCACAAACAATATAAAAGTTTAGTCACTCATAATCCTATCACTCCAAACAACAACTGTATTTTGGTATATTCCACTTTTTGTTTTTCATTGTAAAACATTTTTAAATCTTTTTTTTAATTCTAAAAAGAAATATTTTTAATATTCTATTCTATTTATAGCACAATTTTAATAATTGCTGTCATATGTCATAATTTACATTTTTCTAATGCAGGATATTCTTTACCATAATAAATACTATTGCATTGATTATTTTTTTGTATAATGTTTTTCCTTAGGGACTTTTCCCTTAGAATAGATTCCAAGAGTGGAGTTATTAGATCAAAAGTTTAGGACATTTTAAAGGTCCTTTATGTACCATCTTAAAGTTGCTTTCTGAGGAAGATATACCATATATTCTCCGGTGCCATGTTAATCATCACTGTCTACCTGAGATTTTTTTTTAAGTCTTTTTACTAGTTCATGCCATTCTAAGACTAATTTAGAAGTATTGGTTGTACAATTATTTTATATAACTAAAAATGTCTAAACTTTCTCTCATATTTTTTGTCACACTATTAAATTTTCTTTAGCTTCCCCAACTCATAAATGCCAATTTTCCAGTGGACCCCCAAAGGATGTCTATTTCTGGCCACTCCATGGGAGGCCATGGAGCTCTGATTTGTGCTCTAAAGAATCCTGGAAAATACAAAGTAAGGTTACCTAAACTTCTAGGGACAAATAATCTCTCTTGGGTAATATAATATTAGGAAATTTTAAAGATTGAATTTAGGATATTATTGTAGTTTTGGGACTAAACTTTTCTAGAAGTGTTGGAAATTTTAAGAGGTTGTGAGGGAGGAGTATAATTTAACCATACTATGTATGCTACAGAATCAGAAGCATACAGACTTCAATCACAGTGGCTTCATCTTCTGTTGTTCTATTAGTGTGTGTTTGTTTATTTGTTAATCCTCACCTGAGGATATTTTTTCCAACTGAGTTTTAGATAGAGTGGATGGGTGGGAGGGAGAGAAAGAGAGAAACATTGATTTGAGAGAGACACATCTAATGGTTGCCTCCCGCAGGACCCTAACTGTGGCTGGGATTGAACCTGCAACCCAGGTACGTGCCCTTGACCAGGAATCAAACCTAGACTCTTTGGTCCATGGGCCAACACTCCAGTCTCTGAGCCAAACCAGCCAGAGCTGGTCTACTAAAAGTTTTAAAACATTGTATCTTAAAGATAAGTACCACATGATCTCATTTATTTTTGGAATCTAATGAACTCTGGGGAACAAAATAGGTCCAGGGCCGGGGACATAGAGAACAGACAGGCACATCTCAGAGGGAACAGGGTGCAGCTGGGTGGGAAGAGATAAACCAGAGAACTTATATGCATAACCAATGGACACAGACAACAGTGCAGTTAAGTGTGGTGGGGAAGCCAGGAGGAAGGGGTCAGTGGGGAAAGGGGGGCATCTGTAATACTTACAACAATAGAGACAAATTTTTTAAAAAATTGTATCTTATATTTTATTGTTTCAATTCAAACTATAGTTATTTAGGTATTTTCTTTCCTAAAGGTTATTCTTGATTAATGTGATTGTGGCAATATCTATCATTCACTTATATTTTTACCAGTAATACCTTTGTAAAGTTTTTGGTTTTCTGAGGGAGTAGATATTCATGACTTGTAAAAATTTAAGGATTCCCTGTCCTTAATGCCTCTGATGAAAATTGGAATGCAGTTGATTAAAAAAATATTACTCTCAGCCTTCTTATTTATTTATATGAAGCTTTATTTTATTATTGTTGTTATTATTTTTAATCCTCACCTGAAGATATCTTTCCATTTATCTTCAGACAGAGTGAGAGGGGGAGAGAGAGAGAGAGAGAAACACCGATGTGAGAGAGACACATTGATTGATTGCCTCCTACATGACCTGGACGATGGCTGGGGACCAAACCGCAACCGAGGTACATGCCCTTGACCAGAATCCAACCCAAGACTCTTTGGTCCCCGAGCCAGCACTCTAACCACTGAGCAAAACTAGCCAAGGTGAAACTTTATTTTTTGTTGGTTGTTTAAATAAGCCAAGTTGGAATAACCACAGTACAATATGTAGAATGTCATATTGTGCAGGACAGCGTACCATAGTGGAGGAAAGGAAATGTTGAAGTTGTGATCATCTTAAGATTGCTTCTGTCTTTAGAATTACAACTATCAGAGACCTCAATATAAGTTTAATCCATTTCCTTTCTTAGAAAGAACTTCTTAATCATTTGAAGTGTGCCACTGAGAAATGGAAGTGTTTCTTATAGCAGTTTCTTGCTGTGGCACCAAATACTTTCCTTTTGGGAAGCTTTATTGTAAAGTTGAATTAATTCATGTCATGACAGTGGGTTTTTAAAATAAGGGTTTTATTTTCCTTTTTTTATGCACAAAGCAATTAAATTTATTGTGTTTGAGGAAGGAAATCAAATTTAGTTGATTTTTTTATCCTTTATAAAAGCTAGTAGACATTGATAAACACTTGAGACTGAGAAATTTATCTCTGCATTTTATCCAGAGACAAACATTGCACAGAACACAAAATGATCTTGTATCAAAAATTCTGCCACATTTAAAGGCATTGTTCAGTTCTTTCTTGGCACTGTTTAAAAGATATAATATGTCTCCGATTTAATAATTGTTCAGAAGGTAGGCGTAAACTGTTTCATATTACTATACATTAATTTTAAGAAGAAAACAGGAGTAGAAACAATATAAACTTCCATTTGTGCATTACTTTGCATTATTTTAGCCCCTGTAGTTATTAGCTCTCTTAGTAGAACACACAAAAGAGGTATTATGGAGAGACCTACAATCAAAGCTTATAATCTAGCAAAAGGAAAATTGTTCATGGGTTTTCATGGCAAGTCAGAATTTATAAGCAAGTTGCAAATATATGTTCATATTTGATTTAGCAACATATAACTTGTTTTTAATTTTCTTTGTTTCTAAAGTCTGTGTCAGCATTTGCTCCAATTTGCAATCCTGTGCTTTGTCCTTGGGGCAAAAAAGCCTTTAGTGGATATTTGGGAACAGATCAAAGTAAATGGAAGGTAGGTACTAAATGGCTATCTTAATACTTCATTATGAAGTTTTCAAATTTGTTTAAAAGCTGTACACTACAGATATTTCTAGCCCACTCAAGTTAAGGGTCCAGAGTTAAAAAAAGCAAAAGTGTAAACATAGAACAGTAACAAAAACCCTACTTTCTAATTGTGTTGAGTTATGGCAGATATTCTGCGGCTACATTCTTTTCCTAGTAATGGTCAGTTTATAGTAAAACCTCAATATAATGGACTAATTCGGGTAAAGGGGTGTCCATTAAAGCCAAAAGTCCATTATATAATAAAGTAGGGTTTCTGAATGCATTTGTTAAAAAGTTGACAAATTAGTTAAACTGTTTTTACTTATGTAGATATGTTTTGTAATTAAAATTAAGTATGTATGAAAAGTTTAATTTCACAGAAAAGTTTTCTGTAAGTATTACTATAATTTTAAATTTATACTGAATAGGTCTAGTAGAAGCATGCATTCATTCACCAGTCACTGAGTAAACAGGTACACATGGCTGGGGCGTGGCTTAGTGCATGTGGTAACATTGTCCAGCTCCAGTTAAAACTGCTGCAAAACCAATAGACACAAACAACAGTGCAGTGAAGGCAGGGGGAGCCGGGAACAGGGAGGAGGGTGCTGATGGGGGAAAAAGGAGGGACATCCATAAATGATGAAGATAATTTTTTTAAATGCTGCAGAAAAGCCACGGGGCAACAGAACCAATTACTGTGTGTGATATAGTGTGATCACGTGCTAGTCATTCACCAAACATTGTTTACAAGTGGTGACTCTTGGATTTAAATATGTAGACTATAATTGTAGATATGTGATATTTATTTGTGTTCGTGACATTGGTACAGTGTTTTTTCCAACATACGGCCATTGGCTAAAATTTGTTAAAAATAACAGTAAATTAATAACAAAATTACATGTTATTTTAATTATAAGCAAATCTTGGTTAAAAGCATTTTAAAATTAACAGGATGTTAATTTTCACATATTATATATGGACTGGAAGTTTTTGTCCATTAAATCTGAAGTCTGTTAAATCATGGGTTTACTGTGTTTCTTCTAAATAATTATTACTTCTGTATTAGCATTGCAAAAAAATCATATATTTTTACTAAATTTAGATTTGTCTTTTATTAACTATATGCTCAGTTGTGTACAATAGGAACCATGAGACCTGGCTTTTTAATTTGTGTATCTGTTTTAAAACCCAATACCTCTGATTTAGATTTTAAACTCCATATTTAAAGTCTTTAAAAGTAGATATTGTGAAAGGTACATTTATGTGAGTATTACCAACAGCAAGATCGCTTTTTCAAGCTTAGGAGCAGATGCTTCAAAGTGAAAATAAAAATGGCTCTTTCTCCTGAGACTCATTTTACTGTTGTGTAGAGATAGGCCATTTGCAGATTTCACCCAGAGTTTGAATATTTTACAGATGAACTCATCATGTGCCTGTTAACAAGTAGAAAATACTCAAGTTGGGAAATTTTTTTTTGTCTTAGAGTTGTGTATTCAAGGTCATTTACATGTGGATGACCCCTATTTTATTTTAAGATTGATCATTGAAATTCTAACAAACTGGAAAGTCAATTATTTGCTCACTAGATTAGAATTAATTTTGTTTGGTTTTGTTTAGACTTAGATTTTTATTATATTGGAAGAGTGCTGAAAATGATTAATTTAGGTACTTTTAGACCTGACACTGTGCTTTACATCAGTATTTTGAGTCCTCGCCATGTGCAGTCTGTGCAGTTTGAGATCTTATGTCAGGAGGGGGTGCCCCTTTCCTCTCCACAGGTGCTTATGGGCTAACAGAAGGGCTGAGTAGAAGACCAAACTAATTGGGGGGAGGAGGAGAGGTAGAGGCATAGCTAGTAACCTATAAGGAATCTATATAATTTTTCTTCAAGTAGCAGTAGGTAGATTTTATTACCTTAATTATGCTGTGTTTAGGCCATTATTTAATTTACTATTGTAATAAGGAGGTCATGCAGTATTATGAAATCATAGAATGAGTTGGACTTTATAGGTCCCTTTCCACGTTTTTCTTTTACTACTAAGCAAAGTAAGTCTTAAAAGCATGATACTTTAGAAGAAGAAATATTTTGATTTTTGTCTTGATCAATGCGTAAAAATTGGATATGAATAATCAAGAATATTTAAAGGTGGATGATAAGATATAAAATTGTAACTAATAGCTCCTTAAATTTGGGGAGTGGTTAATATGATTCAGATTATTCAAGTCATGTCTTCTGAAAATTCATGGCGATAGCATATTTTTCATGCTGTTCAACAGACAGCAAAAGATAGGGCTGAATGTATTTATGTCTGAAATTAGAGCTAAAAGGAAGAAACCAAAAAATAGACTATTTATTTGAAATAGAGACTATTTGGAAATAGAAAAGGATAATGGAATATGAAGAAATAATTAATTTGTGTAGGGATTGACAAAGAAAAAAGTGTTAAGGGTTTTGTTGTTTTGAGCTGAGAGGCGATTAAGAACCTTAAATGTTTAGAAGAAAAAAGTCTATACTCTGAAGAATGTTTGGGATATAGGATTCTTCCCACTGGCCTCGGACTGCTGGAAAGTAGGGAAGTCAGCTGTCATTGGGAAGCGAATCTATAACCCTTATAAATAAAAACCAGGCAAGTCACCTTTTAATCCAACTTAAAAGCATATTTCTAATTTAATCAGCCTTAGAGTTTAAATACCTTTAAATTTCTATTTGGTTCTGATATAGTATATAGAACATCTTTCTAGGCACTTTTAGATTTATTTTTTAATATTTTTCTTTTCATAGGCTTATGATGCTACCTATCTTGTGAAGGCCTATCCTGGTTCTCAGCTGGACATACTAATTGATCAAGGAAAAGATGACAACTTTCTTTCAGATGGACAGTTACTACCTGAAAACTTCATCGCTGCCTGTACAGAAAAGAAAATCCCTGTTGTTTTCAGATTACAAGAGGCAAGTACTAGGAAACTTGAACTTGTTCTAAATAAGTATTAAAAAGCAGGATTATAAGTACTTTTCAAATTTTATTTTAGAATGTGAAATGCTACCTCTAGTTAGATATTTTTTTTAACTGTAATAAGACACTTAAAAACCTTTCTACTAAGTTAGTGATATGTAAGACAAAATTCCATAGAAGTCATAGGAAAGCTTTTGCGGCCAAGTATTTATAGTTTTCTGTTCCACTGTAAAAATAGTGAAGAACAAGAAGCTGAAATACTTGAATGCTACATAATCATCAACACCGCCGGATGTGTCCTTACACATGCAGCTCTTGTAGTAGAACAAAAGGGACAAGCTTCCACCCTCCTTTGTGTGCACTTCTGAGCCCAGATGTGTGTATTGTTTGTCTCACACACATACGTGCACATTATATTGTTTGTGTTAGATACTGTTCATTGTGCTACATATTATTTCTCATTGTTTAAGAATAATTACTGAATTTCAGTTGGTTTGCAAAGTTTTCTTGACTAAAATACTTTTGACTATTTACTCCTCACCTAACTTGATATTATATTAATACAGTTGTAATAAAAGATATTCTGCTTTTATTTTTAAATGTTTATTCATAAGCTTTGGAATATAATATAAGCAAAACCTTTATTTCAGAATGATAAGTGAACACTAGACATTATATGTGATTGGGCCAAAAAATATTTTTATTCATATTTAAGGTTAATGTGTCAGGTACATTGATCTATAGTGTAATTATAATAGTGAATGTTTGACTAAATCTAGATCAGTGTGTAATGTGGTGCATTACAGTCTACAAAATGTTTCCACAGCATTAGCTTATTCTATCCTTCTGTGACCAAATGAGGGACCATTCCTGTTCTGTCCATCTGTTTGTTTCTCAATTTTTTAAATTGTGGTAAAATACCATACATAAATATTGTATCATACCTAATTTTAAGTGTACAGTTTAGTGGTGTTAAATTCATTTATAATGTTGTACAGTCATCACTCTCATCCATCTCCATAATTCTTTTCATCTTGTAAAATTGAAACTCTATACCTATTTAAGCCTAACTCCTCATCCCCACTCCCCAGAGCTTGGCAACCACCATTCTACTTTCTGTCTCTAATTTTGACTATTCTGAGTATCTCATGTAAGTGGAATCATACAGTATTTGTCTCTTTGTGACTGGCTTACTTCAGTTAGCATAATGTCCTCAAGGGTAGTGCATGGGGATATTTATTTGGTTGTTACCTCAAATAATTTTTTTTTTTTCTGGCTTCAGAAAATCTCAATTGAAAAAGCACAGGTAGCAGAATTCTTACAGCAGGTATACAAAGATCAAATCTTTGAAGAAGAAAGGCCTATTATGTCTTATTTTTAGTTATTGGCATTACTTATTAGGGGAAAAAATTCAGTGACCTAATGGAAATTTGCAGGAACAACATTGAAGCAAGGCCTTTAAAAGTCTCTAGCCCCTCCCTGGCCGGTTTGGCTCAGTGGTTAGAGCATTGGCCTGCGGACCAGAGAGTCCTGGGTTCGGTTCCCGCTAAGGGCATGTACCTGGGTTGCAGTTTGTCCCCGGCCCCGGTTGGGGTCATGTGGGTGGCAACCAGGCGATGTGTCTCTCTCACATCGATGTTTCTCTCTGTCTCTTCCTTTCTCCCTCCCACTCTATCTGAAGATAAATGCAAAAATGTCCTCGGGTGAGGATAAAAATAAATAAATAAATAATAAATAAACAAATAAATGAAAGTCTCCAGCCCCTTTTTGATGATGCAGAGTTTCGGCTCTGCACCTGCCTGCTAGAGGAGAGTGAGGACGGGGCACAGACCCCCACGGTACAGGGCCCTCTCACTCACCCTGCACCTGCTCGACAGTTACCTCGCACAGACCCCACGGTGCAGGGCCCTCTCACTCATCCTGCACCTGCTCGGACAGTTACCTCGCACAGACCCCACGGTGCAGGGCCCTCTCACTCATCCTGCACCTGCTCGGACAGTTACCTCGCACAGACCCCACGGTGCAGGGCCCTCTCACTCATCCTGCACCTGCTCGGACAGTTACCTCGCACAGACCCCACGGTGCAGGGCCCTCTCACTCATCCTGCACCTGCTCGACAGTTACCTCGCACAGACCCCACGGTGCAGGGCCCTCACTCATCCTGCACCTGCTCGACAGTTACCTCGCACAGACCCCCACGGTGCAGGGCCCTCACTCATCCTGCACCTGCTCGGACAGTTACCTCGCACAGACCCCACGGTGCAGGGCCCTCTCACTCATCCTGCACCTGCTCGACAGTTACCTCGCACAGACCCCACGGTGCAGGGCCCTCTCACTCATCCTGCACCTGCTCGACACTTACCTCGCACAGACCCCACGGTGCAGGGCCCTCACTCATCCTGCACCTGCTCGACAGTTACCTCGCACAGACCCCACGGTGCAGGGCCCTCACTCATCCTGCACCTGCTCGGACAGTTACCTCGCACAGACCCCACGGTGCAGGGCCCTCTCACTCATCCTGCACCTGCTCGACAGTTACCTCGCACAGACCCCACGGTGCAGGGCCCTCACTCATCCTGCACCTGCTCGGACAGTTACCTCGCACAGACCCCACGGTGCAGGGCCCTCTCACTCACCCTGCACCTGCTCGACAGTCACCTCGCACAGACCCCACAGTGCAGGGCCCCCTCACTCATCCTGCACCTGCTCGGACAGTTACCTCGCACAGACCCCACGGTGCAGGGCCCCCTCACTCATCCTGCACCTGCTCGACAGTTACCTCGCACAGACTCTTGGGAAGTACTTTTAAATAAAATAATGAATGTCTTTCAAAAGTCTTCTTTATCCGTTGAGGCTTAACCTGAGGATTCATATCTGAGCTCTTCTGCTTGGGTCTGGAAGATGCGTAGGAATGCACTGGCTCTCCGAATGCACGTTCATTGTAGCTGCTGGAACACTGCTGCTTTTGTGAGAACTGAGTGAAGAATGAGAGAATGTGTTCATTTATTTTTATACTCAGAGTCACTGTTATCACGGAGGGTTTTTCCATTTAAAGCGTGAGGTAGAATAAGAAGGATCTTTCAAAAGTCACTACATACATATAATCACACAAGCTGCGTAACATACCAGACCAACTCCAAATATAATGAAAAGAGCCACCCCTGTTTTTTAGTAAATAAAACTTGAAACTAGTCAAGAATGCCGTAGTTAGCTCTTATTATATAAGCGTGTTCTATCTACCAGAACACCAAGTTCAGATATGTTCTCTTGCCTTTATGTTGACATTTAAAAAAACTTTTCTTGGTCCCTCATGACAGGCATTTTCTACTTTCTCATAAAGATGGATCTTCCATTAAATATCATTATGCAAATTAAGGACATGCTTTGTCTTTTAAGATGAAATGCACTCGTATACCCCTGAGCTCAAAATTGTCTCTTTGGTTTACCCTAGAATTTCTCTAATAAAAGAATAAAAATACAGCAGTAATGGTGGCTGCCCACTATGTGCCTGAAACTGCAGGGTGTAGAACACAGTGAAACTAAGCATAACCATACAGCATTGTCACTCATGTTAGGGTTTATTACACAATGTTTTGAGATATCATTTCATATCATCTGCCTATTTTTAATCAGATTCATTTCATTTTTTTATTTGTGAAAAATGGCAGGTACTACCTGGTATTATATTTCACAGATTTTGGGCCTATTTAACCACTTAGTAATTCAAGAATTACTTGGATGGAAAATGCTTTTCTCTTTTAATAATTTTTCTTTATAGATTTTAGAGAGAGGAAGGGTGAAGGAGAGAGGTAGAGAAACATCGGTGAGAGTGGCCGCCTCCTGCACGCCCCCACTGGGGATCAGGCCACAGCCTGCGCATGTGCCCTGACTGGGAATCAAACTGGCGACTTCTTGGTGCAGGGTCGATGCTCAACCACTGAGCCACAGCAGCCGAAGCGAAAATGCTTTTCTTTACGTTTCTTTATATAAGAAACTGTCCTTTAGCTCTAAATTTAGCACATTGACTGACCTTTGTCCAATCGCTGAGAGATGTGAAGCCAAGTTTCTGAGGCCCGGCCTGAGTTTAGACGGTGCTTCTGCCACACTCACTTCCACGGTCCGGCCACGGAAAACAGCAGACGGATTGCTTTTAAGTTACTTGTTTGACTTTAAAACATTATTAGCTGTTATTCCCAAAATATACATGGCAAACCCCTAGACGTAAGATGTCGAGAACATTTACCAGTCCATCAAAACCCTAGGGGTTTTTCTTCCCTGAAACCCAGGTGATACTTTCATTAGGTCAATTTTTGTTTCTTTAAGGGCATAGAAAAATTTCCATTTTCTCCCATCAGAGGCCATTCACTAGATTGAGTTAAATCTTTAAAATCTTTCTTAGGCACAGCCGGTGTGCTCAGTGGTTGAGTGTCAGCCCATGCACCAAGAGGTCACCAGTTTGATTCCTGGTCAGGGCTCATGCCCAGGTTGTGGGCCCGATCCCCCGTGGGTGGGGAGGGCATGCAGGAAGTGGCCAGTCGATGTTCTCTCCCATCAATGTTTCTGTCTCTCCCTCTCTCTTTTTCTCTCTCTAAAATCAATAAAGAAAAAAATATTTAAAAAAAATCTTTCTTAGACTTTTATCTTTCAGTTTATTCTACCTTGTGTGTGTTTTAATTGTCTTTTGGGAGAGTGACAGATTGTCCCAGAAATTATCTGGTGTTTAACCTCTTAGGTTCTTCCCACCTTAATTTTTTTTCTTTGAAAGCTACTTATTTTTTCTAAATATTTTTTTAAAAATTTCAATTACTGTTGATGTACAATATTCTGTTAGTTTCATGTATACAACCCAGTGATTAGACATTTATATAACTTACAAAGTGAACACCCCAATAAATCTAGTACACATCTGACACCATATGTAGTTATTACGGTATTATTGACTATATTCCTATACTGTACTTTAAATTCCCACGACTGTTTTGTAACTACCAATTTGTACTTCTTAATCCCTTTACCTTCTTCACCCGTCCCCACCGCCCACCTTCCGTCTACCAGCCATCAAAACATTCTCCATATCTATGAGTCTGTTTCTGTTCTGCTTGTTTATTTTGTTTTTTAGATTCAGCATATAACTGAAAGCATATGGCATTTGTCTTTCTCTGACTACCCGTGGATGTGAGACCTGCTCGTTACTTGTCTTTGCCCCTCCCACTAGTCTTGACATTACTAGTTCTGTGTATCCTTAGTTATAGGACTTCTGTCCAGCTAGACTTCAGGCCGTTCTCAGTGATGGTTATTCTGTAGTTTAGTTGTACTTTTGATGTGGTTGTTGGAAGATGCTAGTACTGCGTTTACCTACACTGCCTTCTTGACTGGAAGCCAAGCTCTTTCTTGTATTCAGAGGAGAGTCTGAGGAAGGCTTGCCTTTCCATTCGCCCATGTCAGTGGTTTTAATTGGCCAGATAGATCGATACCTGTTTGAACTCAGCTGCCTGGCATCTTACATTTTCTGTGTTACGGTAGTTTTCAAACGAGTTTATTAACTTTTTACCCAGTTTGATTTATTGCTAAAGGATGTCAGAGTTGAATGAATTGTTCCTTTTTCCTTTGAGATACGATGTGCTTTTATTGTGTAGGTGGACTTCTTAATATGATTTATGATGACTGTTTGACTTCCCAAACAATAATCAATCATTTGGGTATTTTCGTGTTCATTCTTTATTGCTTATGTATGCTCATTTTGTATTTTAACATTCCCTCTCTTATTGATGTTAGTGCACTTCTTTTGTGAGGCGAAGCTTCTTACCCATGTTTCTAAGTACTCTAAATTCTTACTCTTTTAGCCATTGGATGATCACAAGTTTAATTAATGTGTTGTTTCCTCTCTTTGCATATAAATGGTAGTATCTAGAAAGAAGGCTATGCAGAATGTTTAATTTTTTTTCATATTTAAATATTAAGGTACAGTGTAGGCTTAATTTTGATTATAAACCTTCCTTGTATTTTGACTATTTGTTAGATTATTGAGATGAGAGATACGTTTAATGTCCCTAATATTAATGTTTCTGAATAGTAGATAAATGTCTTATCCTCTGTTTTGTCTTCTAGGGTTATGATCATAGCTACTACTTCATTGCAACCTTTATTACTGATCACATCAGACATCATGCAAAATACCTGAATGCTTGAGAAACTTCAGATAAGAGATTCTCTTCAGGATTATAAAGATTAGAATAGAATTGCAGGGGAAAAGAATTTCAAAACATTGTATTTCATAATACTAAAAATTGTTCTATAGTTGAATCACCTTCTGAATAAACATATGAAACCTTCTGATTTTATTATTATTTTAATCCTCACTCAAGGACATTTTTCCATTTATATTCAGATAGAGTGGGCGGGGGGGAGAGACATGGATGTGAGCTAGACACCGATTGGTGTTCTCCCGCTCGACCCCGACCAGGGCCAGGGACTGAACCACAACTGAGGTACGTGCCGTTGACTGGAATTGAGCCCTCGACTCTTTGGTCTGTGATCTGATGCTCCAACCACTGAGCCAAACCAGCCAGGGCTGATTTGAAAAGCTATTTACCAACGTTCACATGGGAAAGTTTTAATACTTCAGAGCTTTTTTTTTTTTTTTGTGGTATGTGCCCCTAGCGGGAACCAAACCTGGGACTCTCTGGTCCACAGGCTGACACTCAACCACTGAGCCAAACTGGCCAGGGCAATACTTCACAGCTTTTTGAGATCATTTGGAAATCATCGTATTGACTGGAGATCACAATATGAATGTAACCCTGTTCACATCACAGAATGCCAGCTCTGCAACAGGATTTAAAGGCAATTAATTTAGCCCCAACTTTTCACCTTTCTAGACTTAAGCCTCTGAAGGTGCAAACTGTCTCCATCAAGTTCATTATTGTATCTCTATAGTGTCTAGCAACTGCTTGGCTTCTAGTCGGTTTTTAATAATAACTTGTTACCTTTGAATCAGGAAGTAAGCTCAGAAAGGTTAAGTGAATTCCTCATTATACAGTTATTTGTGGGACAGCTAGGATTAGAGCCAGACTTCCTAAATCCAGTCCAGTGATACTTCTTATCTAGCCAGGTAGATTTATGGACATTGGTTTTGGGGTGTCTCTCAAAGACAAGAATTAAATAATATGATTTATCTGAGAGTAGCTAGTAAGGAAACATAAGTTTCATGTGTTACTGTAAAAATGGATTTTTTCCCTTAGTTGCATGTAGAAATTTAGCTTGTTCACTAAGAAAAGTAATCAGTCTCTTTGTAATACCTAATTGAGTTCCTTTAAGAACTTAATGGACAAAATGGAAACATGATAGATGAAGTCTGGTTCTTTTAAGATATTTTCCTGTGATAGAGCACAAAGTGTATACATTTTAAACATTCTATAAGAATGTACATTACACGGTAATGGAAGAAGACATCCGGACCTTAAAGCTATAAAATTAGTACTATTTAAATATAAATCAGATTGTTTTTACAAATTAGTGCTACTTAAATATCAGTAGTCAAAATTGAGCCCTATAGTGAGCTAGCTATACACAAAACAGTTCTAGTCTAAACTAAGATAATTTAATTCATGAATGTTTGGCATGTTGGTAATTCCTTCGTAAAAATAAAGAGCTGTGTGGTCCCGAGTTCACTGCATTAGTTGAGGATTTAGAGAAGCATAGCTATGCAGATGTACACATTGGGAAATTTTCTACAAGGAATTGGCTTATGTGGTTCTGGGGGCTGACTAAGCAAGTCTGAAGCCCACAGGGCAGGCCATCAGGAAGGGAAGTTCACGAACAGGATGAAACTCCATGGCACAGGCTGCAGCTGTTGTCCACAGGCAGAATTTCCTCTCTCTAAGAGATCTCAGTCTTACTTCCGAGGCCTTCTAAGTGAGGACCACCAGATAATTTTCCTTAATTAAAGTCAGTTGATTGGGAACTTTATATCTGCAAAATCCCTTCAAAGCGACAACTAGCTTGAGTAACTGGGAACCGTAATCTAGCCAACTTGGTATATCATAAGAAGATCGCTGCTTTGCTTTTTTGTAGGGTAAACACAAAAACATTTAAATCTTCAGTAAGTTATTGCTGACATATGGCCAATAATAACTGTAATAAAGAAAAAGGCCTTCAGTTACAACACAGAATTGACCATTGAGGATACATAGGAAGCCAATAAATTTGAGGTTCTCTGTGGGACTAGTAAACAATAACCTAAAAAGGACCTCCTAATACTAGTTTTTGTATGCTAAAAATCACCTGACAGAATAAGGTATAAAAGGAAGCAAAGGATTTGACAGATTTCCTGGGTTATGATTGATAGAAAACAAAAAACAAAAATCTTTTTATTGATTTTTTAGAGAGAGGATGAGAGAGAGAAACATCTGCACACTCCCTACTGGGGATCGAGCCCCCAACCAGGGCATGTGCCCTAACCAGTAATCAAACTGGGACCTCTAAGTCCATGGGATAATGCTCAATCCACTGAGCCACACCAGCCTCTGTAGATATAAAACCTTTTTAAAGATGCCTTTAAGAAACAACACAGTACAGTAAAGCCGCCATTAAAAGTAAAAAGGCAAGCCATAAATTGGGTGGAGATGCTTGCAATGCATATGCCTGGCAAATAACTTGTATCTAAAACATATGAAGAGCTCTCACAATTCATTTTAAAAAAACAAAACTGCAAACACAACAGATAAACCATCCAAAGAATGGGCATAGGATTTGAATGGGTACTTTACAAAATAGAACATAAGTATGATTAATAAACAAATGAAAATGTGGTTAACTCCATGAGACCAGGAAAATGCAAATAACTATAATAAAATGACAGTACACACCCACCTAAATGGATAAAGTTAAGACAGCATAAAATGCCATGTTAGCAAGGATGCGTGACGACTTGCTGAGGGATTAACTGGCAGGGTCTACTGAGATGGAATTCTGTGCACCCCTGCCCGACAATTCCACTCCAAGGCATACCAAACAGAAATGTGCTGTGTGGAAATGTTCATAGATGCACAGTTGAAATGGAAACAGCCCAAATGTTCTTCTATGATAGAACGGGTACAGTGATAGTATATTCATAGAGTAGAATGTTTTGCATGAATGAAAATGACCATGCAACTAAACGTAGCAACATGGAGGGTCCTCAAATACAATCTTGAGTGAAAGATTCCAGAAACAAAATTATGTACTGCATAAATCATTTTGTATTATTTTATATAAAGTTCTAAGCCAGGCAAACTCATCCATTGGGTTAGAATCAGGATGGTGTTACACCTTGCAGGGGGCAGGGTGGGCCCTAGGGACAGGTAATTAATTGAGGGCAGTAGGAGAAGGCTTTTAAGGCACCAGTGATGCTCTCTTTCTTAATCTGGGAGCTTGTTACACAAGCGTGTGCACTTTAAGATTTATATACTTTTTCACATGTTATACTTCAGTGAAGTTTACATTAATTAGGAAAAGTATTAAGTAGTTATGCTGTGGAGATCAGAAAAAAAAAAAAAAACTGCATGAAGGGAAAAAAATCCTGATGTTACACAAAAAATACTTATTTACAAAGATAAAATTTCCAGTGACCACATCATCTACAAATTCAAGTAATGTTAGGGGGTAAATCTATCAAAGCTGTAAGAGGTCCCCATGACTGGGTGCCCCTAGAGTTTATAACTTACTCTTTTTTTTTTTTTAATCTTCACCCGAGGACATTTTTCCATTTTTTATTCAGATAGAGCGGGAGGGAGAGAGGAAGTGAGAGAGGGAGAAACATCGATGTGAAAGAGACACATCGAGTGGCTGCCACCTACACGACCCAACCAGGGCCGGGGACAAACTGCAACGGAAGTACATGCCCTTAGCGGGAACCGAACCCGGGTCTCTCTGGTCCGCAGGCCAATGGTCTAACTGCTGAGCCAAACCGGCCAGGGCTAGAGATTATAACTTTCAGAGTTGTCTACACTGAGCCACCAGCAAGTCATCAATTACAGTTCCTACCATGATTTCTACTGGTGAGTCTGTTCAAGGTCATTAACGTGAACAAACATGGCCTATGTATATCTGCCAATGTAGACAAAAGAAGAGATTAGGTTACAACCTATATTATGATACATTTTAAGAATTACATTTAAAATAAATTCACAAACTCAGGAAAGTAAGACTTGACAATGGTGTTTAAAGTGCATCCTCCCACACTCATCAAAACCCAGTAGAGGGAGCCACAACCAATGGAACACCAACACCCACAGGCAAAATTTGACAGGCTCCAAAATTCACTGAGACAGCCAAAAGGATGAAACAAAGAAAGAAATCCCAAATGAAAGAACAAGATAATTCGACAGAAGATGAAATAAATGAAAAGGAATTGAGCAAGCTATCAGAGGGTGAGTTCAGAGTAATAATCATGAGGAAGCTCAACAGCATGAGCAAAGATACAGAAGCACTGAAAACCAATCAATTGGAAATGAAGAATGACATAGCAGAAATAAAGAACACGTTGGAAGGACAAACCAGCAGAGGAGAGGAGACCAAGGATCAGATCATTGAATTAGAAGACAGGGTAGAAAAGATTTCCCAATCAGAGAACCAAAAAGAAAAAACAATTACAAAACAGAATGACAGCCTAAGAGAACTGTGGGACAATATGAAACATAACAACACTCATAGGAGTTCCAAAAGAAGAAGAAAATGAGCAAGGGTTAGAGAATATATCTGAAGAAATAGTGACAGAAAACTTCCCTAACTTGGTGAAGGAAAAAAGCATACAAGTACAAGAAGCACAGAGAGCCCCAAGTAAGAAGAACCCAAACAGGCCCACACCAAGACATATAGTAGTTAAAATGCCAAAAATTAAAGACAAAGAGAGAATCCTAAAGGCAGCAAGAGATAAGCAACAGGTTACCTACAAAGGAACCCCCATGAGGCTGTCAGCTGACTTCTCAACAGAAACATCACAGGCCAGAGGAAATGTCATGAAGTAATCAAGGTCATGAAAAACAAGGATCTGAATCCAAGACTACTCTATCCAGCAAGGCTATCATTCAAAATAGAAGGTTAAATAAAGAGCTTTCCAGACAAAAAAAAAAAAAAAAGGCTAAGGGAATAAACCAGCACTGCAAGAAATGTTGAGAGGACTGCTGTAATTAGTAGAAGAAATAGGAAAAAATATATAATCACAATAAATAAAAATGGTAATAAATAAGTTCATATCAATAATCACCTTAAATGTAAATGGATTAAAGGCACAGATCAAGACACAAAGTAGCTGACTGGATAAGAAAGCATGACTCATATATATGTTGTTTAC